GCCGAGGTCCTCCAGGATGGCATTCAGGTCGAGGAGCGATGAGGCCTGATGTTGTCTACCTTGATAGGAAAAAGACACTTTAAATGGAAAGCCCCATCTGTAGAGGATCTTGTGTTGTTGTAGGATACGTAGAGCTGGTTTCATCTCACGTCTTTTTGCAATGGTGGACGGAGCAAGGACCGCAAATATTTGGTAGTCATGCCCTTGGAATGAGAGAGGTTGTTTAACCCAGGCTTCTTGTAGTATGGTCTCCTTTGAACGAAAGTATAGAAATTTAGCAATGATGTCACGTGGCGGACCTTCAGGCTGATGGCGTGTTAGGGCTCTGTGTATGCGTTGAAACTCCAATCTTTCGTGCGGTATAGATGGGGTCAGTTCCTGTAGCAGTGCTGTGGTGAAGGCTGGAAGATCCAGGACTGACTCTGGTATGCCACTGATCCAGTGCACATGCGCCCCCCTGGAGTTCTCCTTTAAAGAAATACTTTGCTGTGTAATGTATTTTTGTTTGCTCTGGATTACATAGTTAGTCAGTTTGAAAAAAAAAACACAAGTCCATCGAGTTCAACCTATAGAGCTATGAAAAAAAGAAGAAAAGCCTAAACAGAACAAAATGTCACTTCTCTCAGACTGAGCTCTCGCATTTCACCGCACTCACAAAGTCGGATAGAATTGACATTTCAGGACCGATCAGCTGTTTCAGGGCAGATCGGTTCTCCTGCACATGCGATTTGCGATGCCGATGTGCCCTGGAACAGCGGAGAAAGCTTTGAAATGCTACACCTATTCCACCGCCGAAAAACTGAGCGAGATTATTGCAGGAGGCGGGGCTTGTGACACACACACGCCTCCTGTGACTCACCCCGTCGGCAGTGCTGGCCCCCTGTGTTAGTACACCGGGACCGTGCACTGCCCCATATTGCAGGACCGGACCCCACTGAGGCTGTGGGGGTGCCCAGGACCGGACTCCACTGGGCCCCCCACAGCCTCAGGCCCCGGCGGTAGTTCCGCCACTGAGGTTAATGCAGTGGAGGACATTGAAATGTTCCTTCCAGAACTCTTTCAATGAAGGACGTCTCTTCAGTGACATTAAAATAGCTGGTGAAGAGCGCCTTTGTGTACAGCTTCTTGAAATTGCAGATCACTTGCTGGTCCATGGGCTGCAGAAGAGGTGTCGTGTTGGGGGGGAGGAACTTGACCTTTATGAAGTCATACTCAGCGTCCATATCATCCACCAAGGCTGGAGGGTGTGCCGGGGTATTGTCCATCAGAAGGCACCTTTCGGGCAGTTGGTTGTCAGAAAGATATTTCTTAACGGTGGGTGCAAACACCTCGTTCAGCCATTCCATGAACAATTGCCTTGTGACCCAAGCTTTCACATTGGCCCTCCACATGACAGGCAGTCTGGCCTTGTTCACATTCTGTTCCTTAAATGCTTGAGGGGTCTGGGAATGGTACACTAGTAATGGCTTAATCTTCAGATCGGCGCTTGTGTGGCAGTGCCTTTTGCTCCTGCATGATATAGGTTCTGTTCGGCAGCTTCTTCCAAAAGAGCCCTGTTTCATCGCAGTTGAACACTTGTTGAGCGACGTATCCTTCTGCTTTCATGAATTCTGCAAACTCTTTCTTGTAGGCTTCTGCAGCAGCCTTGTCAGGACTGGAAGCCTCACTATGTCTTATCACACTGTGGATGCCACTATATGCAGAATATATCAAACCCCCCTCTACTGGCTTTAAATTAATCACTAGATGAACTTGCAGAGGGGTTTTGTTGCAGTAAATCACTGTGTGTGCAATTTCCTGGCTTTTTCACAGGTCATAGCTTCACTAACGCTATCACCTGCCAGCTGTTTCTCATTCAACCACACTAACTAAAGTTTTTCCACCTCTTCCAGTACTTGTGTCCTCTGCTTGGTTAACATCGTTACTCCTTTTGCCACATCAGTTCCTTTGATGGCATCTTTATTCTTCAAAATAGTCGAGATGGTCGACTTCGCCATCTTGTACTCCGAGGCCAGATCAGTCACACGAATACCACGATCATGCTTTTCTACTATTTCCTTCTTCAATTCAATGGTTATTTTCTTAAAAACCTTCTTGTTACCATTCTTGCTCTGCACTTTCTTGTTACCTCCATTATTGCGCTGCACTTTCTTTTTACCACCATTCTTGCTCTGTGCATTCTGGTCACCTTCATTACCGCTCTGCACGTTCTTGTCACCTGCATTACCACTCTGCACATTCTGGTCACCTGCATTACCACTATGCACATTCTGGTTACCTTCATTATCACTCTGCACATTCTGGTTACCTTCATTACCGCTCTTCACATTCTTGTCACCTTCATTATCACTCTGCACATTCTTGTCACCTTCATTATCACTCTGCATATTCTTGTCAACGTCATTACCGCTCTGCACGTCCTTGTCACCTTCATTAACGCGCTGCACATTCTTATCACCTTCATTACCGCTCTGCCCTTTCTTTTTACCACAATGCTTGCTCTGCACTTTCTGGTTACCTTCATTACCGCTCTGCCCATACTTGCCACCTTCATTACCGTTCTGCACTTTCACACGAATACCACGATCATCTTTTCTACTATTTCCTTCTTCAATTCAATGGTTATTCAATGGCACCATGCTTGCTCTGCACTTTCTTGGGAGCCATGCTGGATTGAATACTGTAATACTGTACAGTACTGTGCTAAAAAGCACACAAAAAAGCTTCACAGTGAGTGTGCACAGCTCTGTCTGCAACCGCGATCTCGACTACAGGAATCAGTTGAAGAAATGTCACCAGCACACCAAAAATCCTTTCAGGATAACTATGTGTTCATTTAATAAGAACCATGTCAAGTAAAAACAAGCACTTTCGGGGCCACGCAGGGTCCCTTCATCAGGCTTAACATTGACAAAGGTATACACACTATACCCACTGGCAAATGTGTTGTGCAGCGTGGAGATACGGATATTGTCCAACTCTGCTGGCTGGCTAGGCTGAAGTTACTGAGTCTAGTGCGCATGTGCATGGCGTGGTCCGTCCGTAAAATCAGATGGAACGCACCGCCATACTGCATTAGAAGTGGCTTAGAAGCCCCCCATGTGATAGCAGATGGTGGTGACAGGTACTCTTGAAAGTGACACTGGGGGAACAAAAGACTCCCAGTGTCACCTTTACACTCCAAATAAGCTATTGAAGTGCAGATCGCATTTCAATAGCTTATAGCTGGGCTTCAGGACCCCAGCACTGACAGCTATGGGACTGCAATCTGCATTGCTCCCGGTCCCATAGAACGGGGAGGGAATCGAAAGGATTTCTGGTGTGCTGGTGACAATTCTTCAATTGATACCTGTAACCAGCGGTGCCATCCACAGTTACTACAAGCACCCTCCCCTGACCTTAACTTATACATTATCCGCATGTGGGGAACTGTGCCAAATTATTCATTATTGAATCACTGTGGATTCTTTATTGAAAAAAAGTTTGAGTTTAATACTACTTTAAGAATATGCCAAAGATGATCGGTAAATTCTACCATTACTTTTGCTTTATAATGGCTTTTCAAAATTGCAAACAAGATAATTAAGAGAGAAGATGAAGGTTTTAGGGCTTGTTCACACCATCTCCATCTCTAGCTGCTGGAACGCACTGGATCGCATCCTTGCTGGGAGCATGGCAGTGGATTCAAGTCAATGGCACCGCAGTCACCCCCCCACAGTGCGATCTCCCGCACCAGAACGCGTGGCTCATCAATGCCTGGGTTCCGGTCCAGTGCCATCACAAATAAATAGTGAAAGCACTACTGATGTGCCACGTGCTCTGGTGCAGGCGATTGCACTGTGGATGGGGGGGCGTGGCTGTGGTGCCATTCACTTGAATGCACCACCACGCCCCCTCCCACCCCAGAACGCAGGGGGATTTTATAATGCGATCCAGTGTGTTCCAGCAGCTAACCGTGCTGGAACGCACTGGAGAAGGTGTGAACAAGCCCTTAGTGCAGAATAACACTTTTGGTAGTTATATAGTAACTTAACATAAATATCTGTACATCAGACCAAAAAGAGGAACAAGTGAGGAGGAAAGAGGGACAGGGGGATTGGGTTCCAGATGAGGGACAAGTGATATATGGCTTAGGTACTTTCTAGGTCATGCCAAGTTCAAGCATAGTCAAAGATGCATGATGAAACTAAACCCCCATTTACACCTGAGCATTTTCCCGAAGTTTGACACCATAAAGAATCCCAGGGTTTCCAATGGGCCCATTCAAAGCTGTGTTGTGTTGTCTGTCACTTGTAGCTCTAAAAAGTGCATAAGCTTCTTTTTGGGAAGAATCACCTATTTTTGGCCCCTGTGGACTTCCATGGGCATTTATCGTGCAACGTTGTACCGAACAATGGTCTCTTTCTTCTAGTAACTGGCTTTCCATTGACTTAGCCCGCATTCACACCTGCACGTGGTGTGGACGCACATCACATTCACACACGTTTGTGCACATTGGTGTGCCACGTTTGTGTTCAATGGAGCCTGCACGTAGGGCAAAGAAGCTCATGTAGAAGATTTTTCATGCACACAAATGCGGAGTAAAAATGCATGCCTTCTTGGGGTGCCATTTAAAATGAATGGCAACGCAAGTGCGTTTCACCACATTTCTGTCAATGTGCGCCAGACACACGCGAAAACATGCATTTTAAGAACGTTCATGAAACATGCCGGTTTGAATGTGGGCTAGAAAAAAAAAAATCAAGCCTGAAAAAGATGGCGAAAAAAAAATTTGCTTAAAAAATGAACACACTCAGGCTCAAATGTGTATAGAGAGCAAACGGTCTCCTAAGGTGTTGTTAGCTAATACACCCACATAAATAGCACAGTGCACCAAGCTGAATATGAACACACGTTTTATATCTCCTCTTGAATGCAGCTTGGCGTCGTAGAACATTATACACAGCAGTTCAGAATCATAGCTCGGCCACATAACCCTCGGTAACCATTTGTATCACCACACCATTACTTGGGAATGGATCGTGTCTCGTTCACAGACACGCGCTCCCTCCAGCATGCGGGCGCGCTCCCTGCATCCCCGGCACCGCGCGCCCCCGCCCCTCCTCTCTCATACTGCTACCAGAGAAGAGGCTGCTGATGCTGTGCATGAAACCCGCGGGTGAGAGGCCACGTGACTGGGGAAGAGGGCGGAGGGGACCCGGAATCACCCAGGCTGTATGGTAGGATGAGTGTTTGAATACGCAATGTCTTATGGTTCCAGTGTACGCTATCGGCACACACATTAGACTCGTTCGTATTTTCCACATACAGTGTGCTGGTAATACATGTACAGTACATAGCTGTGCCACCGGCGGATCTAATGACAGGTGAATGCTGTAGGCCTTGCACACATCTTTAAATGAATACAACAGGTTTGGCATTGCCGAGTTTCATTAATGAGGCTCCATTCACACATAGCGGTAGCGTTTTCTGTGTGTTACGAAACCGCACCAAACTTTAACATATGCTTGGATTCCGCACATTTGTGGTGATAACTATAGCCGGAACATGCAGAATCCGCCATAAAATCGTGCTTATACTATTTTGCGGCAAAAGTGTGAACATTGCACACTAAATTGTATGTTTTTTTAATGTTTAGAGCTGTTCTGCGCATATTCGTACGGCCGAATACGCGCGGAAAACTGCTCGTGTGAATGGAGCCTAAAGGCCCTGGGTATATGAGCAGCAAGATAGCGGAGCGATTTTCAGTTAGCTTGCAGAACTGTGTTCCTGGGATCACTTCTGATGGGAATATAACTTGTTTGGAGTTTGCATGCAGAATTATCACCTGTGTTTTTCGTTTTAATGTTGAAGCCATTGGAAATGGAGCCTGTTTCCTTTTATGCTGCTTACCCATTTCCCAACAGATATCTGCAAGTGTCAAATATGGACTCGGATCAGCTTTTCTCAACCTTTGTACCCCAAGGGACCCTTGAAATCATTTTCAGGTCTCAAGGGGCCCTGCTAAAATTAATACAATGGTGGCTAATTAAAACAACGCCCCCGCATTGGTGGTCAGAGGAAAGAATGTTCCCCCACCCCTGCATTGGTGGTCAGTGGTAAGAATGCTGCCCCACCCTTGCATTGGTGGTCAGTGGTAAAAATGCCCCCATCCTTTACATTGGTAATCAGTGGTAAGAATGCCCCCCCTTCCATTGGTGGTCAGTGGTAAGAATGCCCACCCCATTTGCATTGGCGATCAGTGGTAAGAATGCCCACCCCCTTTGCATTAGCGGTCAGTGGTAAGGATGCCCATCCTCTTGCATTGACCGTTAGTGGTAAGGATGCCCACCCTCTTGCATTGGGCGTCAGTGGTAAGGATGCCCACCCCTTGAATAGGTTGAACAGTATCGGACCCAGCACAGATCCTTGAGGCACACCGCTCATTACACTAGCCCAGTCCGAAAAGGTGCCATTTACAGATACTCTCTGGACGCGTTCCCGTAGCCAGTTCTCTATCCATGTACACACCACTTCCATCTATGGCCATAGCTCTCAGCTTGTGTAGTAAGTGCTTGTGTGGCACAGTATCAAATGCCTTTGAGAAATCCAGATATACCACATCTACCGGCCTCCCTCCATCCATATCTCTACTTACCCCCTCAAAAGTTAGCAAGTTAGTCAGGCAGGAACGGTCTTTCCTGAACCCTTGCTGATTGTCATTAACTATGCCCTTATCCTTAACAAATTTTGCCAAATAGTCCTTAATTATACCTTCTAACAGTTTACAAACTACCGATGTTAGACTGACCGGCCTATAGTTCCCTGGTTGGCATCTAGCCCCCTTTTTGAATATTGGAACTACCGAAGCCCTCCGCCAATCACATGGTACCCTACCAGTCACTAAGGATTCCTTAAAAATTAGGAATAATGGTCTTGTTATAACCTGGCTTAGTTCCCTAAGTACCTTGGGGTGAAGGTTATCTGGTCCAACTGCTTTATTTGCATTGAGCATTTTAAGTCTTTGTTCTATTCCGCTTTCCGTCAACCATTGTGGTATATTATCGGTTGAACTATGTGTTTTATCACGTACGTCGAACCCGTTTCCCTCCTGAGTGTATACTGAGGAGAAAAAATTGTTCAGCGCCTCGGCCCTCTCCTTGTCACTTGTGAGTAACTTCCCGTTTTCGTCCTTTATTGGGCCTATCTGCTCCTTTCTTACCTTTTTACTGTTAATATATTGGTAGAATTTTTTTTATTTTTTTTTACTATCTGTGGCGATATGCTTTTCGCATTCTATTTTAGCTTCCCGGATTACTAGTTTGCATTTTTTGTTACATTCCTTGTATTTAAGGAACGCCAATGCCGTCCCTTCCATCTTATATTTTATAAATGCCATTCTCTTTGCCTTAACATGTAGTTTTACAGTTTTATTTAGCCATATCGGTTTAGTCTTTGATCTTTTGTTTTTGTTACCCAATGGTATACACTTTGAAATGGCAATATGTAATGTGTTCCTGAAGCAGTCCCACATTTGGTCTGAGTTTAGGTTGTGAAATGAGTTATCCCATTTTATTTCCCCCACTAGTTTGAGCAACTTATCGAAGTTGGCCGTTCTGAAATTAAGGGTTCTTGTCCGTTCTGCACCTCTTTCCTTTCCTGTATTTAATATTGAAAGTAATCACATTGCGATCACTACTACCCAGTGTCTCCCCAATTACAATATCCTCAATTAATTCCCCATTATTAGTAATTATTAAATCTAGGATGGCATTTTTCCTAGTTGGAACCTCCATCATCTGTTCCAAGAAATTGTCTCGCAACAGGTTCAGAAATCGGCCCGCCTTTGTCGAACCTGAGGTACTATTAGCCCAATTGATGTCCGGGTAATTGAAGTCGCCCATCACGACTACATTGCCCTCCCTCCCAGCTATGTCTATTTGGGAGTGTAGATATGCTTCCCCCTCCTCCCCTATATTTGGAGGCTTATAGCAAATACCCACAATAAGTTTACGGCTAGGGTCCGCCATATCTAGCTCTAGCCATAAGGTTTCCACATCTTCTCCAATGTTTGACGTGATATCGTCCCTTATATGCATATTTATCTTGTTAAGCTCCCTCAACTCGCGCTGTCTGTCTGGAGTGGCTCTTGGCACCGGTAGTATCTCTGAGAAAACTACCGTGGAGGTCCTTTCCATTTGCATTGGGCATCAGTGGTAAGTGTGCCCACCCCCTTTGCATTGGTGGTAATTATGCCCACCCCTTGCATTGGTGGTCAGTGGTAAAAATGCACCCCTTGCATTGGTGGTCAGTGGTAAAAATGCCCACCCCCTTTGCATTGGCGGTCAGTGGTAAGTATGCCCACTCCCTTTGCATTGGTGGTAAGAATGCCCACCCCCCTTGCAATGGTGGTCAGTGGTAAGAATGCTTCCCCCTGCATTGGCGGTCAGTGGTAAGAATGCTCCCCCACTATCCTTGCATTGGCGGTCAATAGTAAGAAAGTCACCACACCGGTCCAGTGGTCAGTGGTAAGAATTCCCTCCCTTGCATTGGTGGTCAGTGTTAAGAATGCCCTCCCTTGCGTTGGTGGTCAGTGGTAAGAATGACCCCTTGCATTGGTGGGTAGTAGTAAGAATGTCCCCCCTTTCATTGGTAGCAAGAATGCCCCCCCACCCTTGCAGTGGTTGTCAGTGGTAAGAATGCCCTCCCCCTTGCATTGGGGGTCAGTGGTAACAAAGCCCTCCCCCTTGCATTGGCAGTCAGTGGTAAGAATGCCCCCCCTTGCATTGGGGGTCAGTGGTAACAAAGCCCTCCCCCTTGCATTGGCAGTCAGTGGTAAGAATGCCCCCCCTTGCATTGGCAGTCAGTGGTAAGAATGCCCCCCTTGGATTGGCAGGCAGTGGTAAGAATGCCCCCCCTTGCATTGGCAGTCTGTCAGACGTCCCAGGGAGCTAGTAGTGAGATGAGGAACCCACTGCCAGTAAGCAGGTGACAGTCCAGAAACGCGGTACAAGTTTAGGGATAATCCAAGAGGGGTAGTCAATGTCCAATCCGGGTCGATGCAAGCAGCAGAGGTTCAAAGGCTCCTTGTATTGGGGGTCAATGGTAAGAATGCCCTCCCTTGCATTTGTGGTCAGTGTTAAGCAGGGGTCTCAAAGTACCGGCCTGCAGACCAACTCCGGCCCGCAGCCAGGTGACAAGTCGGGCACACGGTCACAGACCGCGTGCCTGACCTGCGGGAGCAGGTACACGGTTTGCATCTATGTCAGATGCAGACCGCAGAGCTGCTCCTGTCAGCTCAGGTCAAAGATCTGACAGTTCTGAGCTTCGGCAGAACGATGATTAGTAAGGTCTGCATTAGACCTTACTAATCACCAGTAGATCACCAGGGAATGATGTGCCCTGCAAAAATGAAAGCAGATGAGGGGGGAAATTTTTATTTTCATTCACACCATTATTTCATGTGGGATTAGGGATTCCTGTGTCACAAACTTGCGTTTTCCTGCACAGGAATCCCTAATCTGGTGTTTACATGCAGCAACTGTCACCCATTCAAGGTAATGATCAAGTGACAGCTGCCACATGTACACGCCTGCATACCGCTCAGTAGTAAGAATGCCCCCCTCCCCACCCTTGCATTGGTGGCCAATGGTAAGAATGTCCCCCCTTTGCATTGGTGGCATTTGCTAAGAATGTCCACCCTTTGCATTGGAGGCAATCTAAGAATGTCCCCCCTTTGCATTGGTGGCCAGTGGTAAGAATGCCCCTTCGGTGGTGCGGAATTCCCATCGCCCGACTGCATGTCCTGGGCTCTGGGCTGGTAGGTTTTGTTTTGTTTTTTTTTCACATTTAGCCCTGCTTCGGGCAAGCAGGGCTAAATGTACAGCAGAGAGCCGCTGCACTTTTTATACAAGTGATCTGATCAGATCACTTGTACCAGACTAATTGTCTGTCCCCTCCCTTCCCGCCTTGGTTTTCAGGGTCCCCCGCTCTTCTAGTGGGGAACGGGGCCATGGTTTTCAGGGTCCACCGCTCTTCTGGGGGAACCGAGGCTTGTGAGCCCCTATGTGATAAGAATTAGGGATGTCCCGATACCGATGCTAGCATCGGAATCGGGCCCGATACAGGGCATTTTGACAAGTACTTGTACTTGTCAAAATGCGCTGAAGCTTGCGATTTTTTTTAAAAAACTTACTGGGAGAGCAACGGCAAGTCGGCCCTGGTCCTGTGGGAGGAGCTC